TATTCTATTTATTATAATGCTTCTGTTTCATTCTTATCATCATCCATAATTAAAAAATAAAAAATATTCTGTTTGCTAAAAAAAAAAACGGATAAAATATTCAATTCACTAAATTTAAAAAAAAATAATTAAAAATATTCACTTTACAATGTCAGACGGTAAAAGTCTTCATCTTAACGTTACATTTCTTTCCTCCTCATCGTCATCACCTCTTTATCTCTCAGACGTTTGCTGACGTGAGCGATACGAGTCAAACTCTCGGCTCTGCTCTCGCTGTGCTTGAGCTTCATTCAAAGGACGAACCAGAAGAATGTGACACGGCGGCTCTTTGAAATGAAAAGACTGAGCCGTGTCACTAGTCGGCGTAATTAGATAATAATAATAATGAAGGAGCTGCCAGACATTGTGACAGAAATAGAGGCCGACATGAAGCTCGATGCTAAAAAAAACATCTTTCAGAAGTAAAGCAGTCTCAGACGGACGGAGGAGGTCGAGCAGAGGTGACGGACGTGGAGCTGAATGAAGCAGGAGGTGAGCAGCACCGGTTCTGTTCCCGCTGACGGTCAGAGAGGAGGCGACTGAACCAAAGTACTCAAGTATTTAGTTACATTACTCTCCTACATGTATCTGATGATTGTTATGATGTGTGATTATGAGATCTGATCTGCTGATGTTTTCATGTTCTTTGACTGCTGGTTGGTGATTTGTACACAGTCACTGGGCCAAATAGGAAAACTACTTCAGCTCACATGAACGATATTTGACTTAACGAGCCTGTTTTATTCTAACAGACGTTATCTGCCCGTCAGTGTTTGAGCCGACGCTGCCATATCTTTGTGAATTCCTGTTTATATTCCAATAAGATCACCTACGTTGCTCTGGATGGGCCGTTCTGGATAATACTGACGTTATTTTGAAGCTAATATTTGTGGACTTTTGCTTCAGTACAGTTGTGAGAACACGACCTCTGTTTGTTTTTCAGTCGCTGATCCCAAGTCCTGATGTGTATGCAGTGGGAATGATGTTGTTCTTGCTCTATGTTTCCTTTTAGTTAGGATCAGAGCATCCTGTTGGAACCCTCGGGTCGGGACGCACAAAAAAGCCAATCAGCGCCAAGCCCTGAACCCAACAGGAAGTCGGCCATTTTGAAAAAACACCAACAATTTTCCCCCATTTTCAGAATCTATCTCCTCCTACAGGGAAGGTCGTACACGCCTGAAGTTTGTCGAGCACAAATTAAAATTAAACGTTAGTAAAACACTCTTTAAAAGTCTGACGGCGTGGAAATGGCGACCCCCGGAATCTGGCCAAAATGAAACGAGACGTGCTGCGTAACTGGCCTGTGTGTGCTCCCAGTCTCAGCCAGAGCGCACTAAACAGGAAGTGGCTCCTAACTGGGCCGCACATGCTCCGATCAGCCCGACACGCCGGATCGGAGTCCCGCCCGGAGCGCGTTTCTACCAAAGGCCGACAGTGGTACGGCGAGGGCCCGTCCATCGCTGCTTTAACTGATGTTGCTCCGACATTTAAACTCTTAGTTGTTTAGTCATGGAAGTGTTTTCAAACTGTGAGGAAATGACATTTGATGAGCACATGACCAGAATACTGTGGTCAGACTGTTCATACTATTCATTAAACAGGTAATCTGATGAGGCCATCATGAGAAATTACAATGACAGTTTTATATTATATTATTATTACTGACATTCTTTAGACGAACCAGTAAATAAAACCGTCTAAATATCCTGTAAACCTCTGGTATGATGCGTCCCCTGTATCCCAGCGTGTACCTTTGCAGCCTCCTTCGGCAGCTCGAAAGGGATGCGCTGGCGGATTTTGGGGGGCAGCTGACTGAGCACCTCAGCCTTGAGGCGGCGGATCATGATCTGGCTGAGCCGTTGGTGCAGCTCCTGCAGGTTGGAGGCGCCGCGACAGTCCCACAGCCTGCGAGGCCCGAAACACCTGCGAGGGAATGAAGGAGCGGTGAAGCTGTGCCTGCTGATGCATTTGTTTTCTTATATACACACACTTCTAACCGAGAGAAACTTGCTAAGAAAACACACTTATTTACAGCAATGCCCTGAAGGAATAGTTAAACATGTTTAAGCATTCCCACTCGGGAGCTGCCCGGCGCTGCTGCAGCTTTCCATCGTTTACCGCTGAGCAGCTCTGCTGGAGCAGTCGGGGGATCCGTTTTTTGCTTAAGGGCACTTTGCAGAGCAGGAAACTATTTTGTCTAATGGCCACAGCAGCAGGTTCATCCCGAAACTCGCCGGCAACTTTCACAATTTATCAGCCAAATGGATTTTTAGAATAGAACTGGCCCTCCACACAAAGGCTGGTGATCTGCCATGTTGGCTGCAAACGTAGACAAACTTAACAAGGCGCTGCCAGGATCTGCTGTTTCACACTTCACTGTTGAAAGTTGTAATTACAGAAGGATGGGAAACCGACTCGCTGCTTCTAAAGTAACGTTGCCGCCTGGTGTGCAGATTTGAACCAGCAACTCTCTTCCTTCTCTGCCTCCGAGCTGCTGCAGCAACTTCACCATCATCAGAGGAAGATGTGCTCCGATGGCACCGCCTTGTGCCCTCTAGTGTGTGTGATACCCTTAGTGTGTGTGTGTGTGTCGCTCAGAACGGCAATCCCCAGCCACACCAAGTGCTATTATATACAAAGTGTTATCATTAATGGCGCCGAGCCCATCCCCGGCCGAGCTGCAGACTTTGATGGACGTCCAAAACAATGCATTTGATGTGTTTGTTCACACGTGTAACTGATCGTCACCAGCGACTGGCAGCCAGTTGGCATTTAACGCTTGGCTTCGGCTGCGGTCTGGCTCTGACAACAAACCCTCGACTCAGCAGCAGCGCCGCCGCCGCCGCCGCTCCAGACTCAGGTACGGCCCACCTTATCCCAGCAGACACAATTAACTGGGAGGTGAGCTCTCCTGAAACTGTGCTAATTTCAATAAGCGACATATAATAAAAAAAAAATTAAGGAGAGAAGGCCAAACTGGGTTAGTGCACTTGAAGGAAGGAATTGTAAGACTTTTGATTTTTAGTTAGCTTGTTAGATGACAAAATCAAAACCCCCTCCCAAGACTGCCAGTGAAATAAAGAGCTGGAGCAACAAGACGGTTAGCCTCACTTAGCATCATTTACCCACTTTGTTGTTGGCTGGTAGGATAGCTAACTAGAGCTAGCAGCCTGCTAGCTTAGCCTAGCAAAAAGAAATGCGGGCCTGGCTGTGTCTTATCCTCTCTAACATCATACCTCATCACTTTTACAGCTTATTTTTAGTGCTCTTTAGTTTATCTTTGGACAGTTCCAGGCTAGCTGTTAGCCACGGCCTTCAGTTTTCCAGTTAGGCTAAGCTAACGGTCTCCTAGCTGCAGCTACACATTTATCTCCTACGCTAAGTCGCTGCAACGATGTGAATTTAAATTCAATACATAGTAGAATTAAGACAGAGTACATATAAACTACTAAAATTTAAAACTTTGGAGACATTTGGAGTATTTCACCTGTAATGTGCGTTGCAGTATTTCTTGGCGTAGTCGGTCCAGGTTCCAAAACTCTTGGGATAGAGGGCATCAATCTGCATGAAAAGCTGTGAAATACCAAAACAGATAACGCACTTTAACAACAACTTTACAATAAAACACACACTACAGCGTATATATGTGCGCTGTACGAGGGAGAGAGAATGTGTGTGTGTGTCTGGGAGATAGAGTCTTGAAACAAGCTGGACAGATTGTGTGTGATAATATCTCAGTGGCTCATTTTCTGAATTAATCTCCTTGGAACTGTAAAACATTTCTCAATCGCTCACATATTTAATAATTTTATTCCCAGCTTCTTTCCAATACTATTTGTCTTGACAATTGAAGATTAGTAGTATTAAAGAAGAAAAGTTGAAACCGTTGGGAAAAAAAATAAAAAAATAATTGTTGTGGTGTGATGTGTGGCTAATGGAGGCTAACGTTTAATAGCCAGTGTTAGCACATGAGCTAGTAAGTAAGAATAGCTATAAGTGGTATAAGTAAAACAATATATTCTCCCTTCTACACAAGACAAGTTGGAT